GAGTGGAAGGAAGAGATAGAGGAAGGAAGGAAGAGGGAGAGGGGGAGTGGAAGGAAGAGATAGAGGAAGGAAGGAAGAGGGAGAGGGGGAGTGGAAGGAAGAGGGAGAGGAGGAGTGGAAGGAAGAGGAAAAGAGAGAGAAAGAGCAAGAGAGAAAGAGAGAGAGAGAGGGAGCAGGAGAGACAGAGAGAGAGAGAGAAAGGAGAGAAAAAGGGAGAGAAAGAGAAAAAGAGAGAGAAAGAGAAAGAGAGCGAGAAGGAATCGAAAGACATTAAGACACAGAGAGACAGAGAGGAAAGGACAAAAAAGAGAAAGGCAAATTTTTTTCGCCATTGAAATGTTATTCGACTTTGGATCCGCCATCTTGGATTTTGAGTTTCTAATCCGGGCGGGATGAGCGAGCGTCACATCTTAATATGAGATTAGCATGCGCGGAGCGAGCCACGATTGTTAATTAATTAATTAATCACGCTAGAGCTACTTAACTAACGAGCGGCGAGCTGGTTATTAATCGCTTTAGCTCATTTAGTTAACGAGAAGGAGGAGGAACACGCAAGATGGTGCGGGATGGCGAATATGATGTGTAATGAGGTCAGGGGTCAAGGTCAGGGTTACAGGCAGATATAGGGTTAGGGTTATGGTTAGCAGGGTGCAAAATTAACGTGAGTCCGGAGTCAAATACTCCCTGATTTACTGTCGGACTCCCTGATCCGTGTGACTCCCTGAAAATTCTGCTATACTAACTACTTCGTTCCAGAACACGGCCTCGCGAATAATTTTACTGTATTTTTACAGCAAATGTCAAAAGAAAATTTGGCAGACGTGCATCGCACGAATCTTCAAAATAAGCACATGCGTTATTGTTGTTATGCTTTAGTTTTGAACTTCAGACTGTGGACTCCCTCATTTTGCTGCGGACTCCGTCTTTTTGAGGGTAGGGTGTCCGTTGTTCAAAAGTTCATTTCTACCCCTGCCACTTGTCATGATCGATAAAATGACTGCGCGTAGCTATCATTCGAAGTTAAAGCGCGATGTGTGTGTGTGTGTGTGTGTTTGTGTGTGTTTGTGTGTGTTTGGGAGGGGGCACTAACATACCAACTAAACTGTCGCTCTTCTGTGCGTTCAGCATGACAAATGGACAGAGGATTGTAGGATGCAGATCATCCTAGCAGGCATCATGCCTGCACTGACTGTTTTCTTAGCAGCCCCCCCCCCTCACTGTAACCACCGCTAGTAGTACGTGAATTTACACTAGTAACTACAGGGTACCCAATGATAACAGTGTGGGGGGGGCGTTGCTAAACTGATAATAACCACAATACTTGGCCCTACGTTAACTCCACGACATAGCTGTAAATCAAAACACTAGTCATAAATCTAGACTAGTCGTAACTAGGGCCCTCTCTCCCGCTCTGTCTCCTCTCTCTCCTCTCCTCTCTCTTCTTCGCCTTCTCCCTCTCTCTCCTCTCCTCTCTCTCTTCTTCGCCTTCTCTCTCCCCTCTCTTCTCCGCCTTCTCCCTCTCTCCCCTCGCTCCTCTCATCTCTCTTCTTCGCCTTGTCACGGTGCCCTTTGGGGGACTATAATATAGAGTGCTCTCAACCGAATGCCGAAAAATAAAAACCAATACTTAAGGACTTCTGGCAGAGAATCAAGAAAAAAATAAGAAGAAACATGAAAATAAATATGAGATTCCAATCACGTATCGGTAATAAAACGTGGTAATAAAGAGGAAAAACAGGTACCACGAATAACAAATAACAGGATGTCACGAGGACAGGAATCGGACCGTGTCGGATTAAGCGAGCCCTAGATAAAGCAGGGTATATAAAGGGAAGGGCGAAAGAGACGGCATTCGACAAACGAGAGCGGTGCTGAATGGGTGTACCGACCGTCATAGAAACTACAAACGACGTACGCAACGCTGCAGAGATAGAAGAAGAAGAAAACCAAAACGTAGAAGGAGGACTGATCAACTACATAAGCGACGACCTAGAAACAGATGGCCGAATATACTGCTGGATGTACATCGCAGAAGAGAGGAGGACAACCATTCTATACAGAAGAGCAGAAATCAGAATGGAAGAAGAGAAAAGCATCAATCGATAGCATCAAACAAGAAGAAGTAAAAGAGATGAACCAGAAGAAATTCATGGAAAGAAAAAGCAAGGAGATGGTACGAGCACGAGGCGAATCTACCGCAAATATGTACGTACAATAACAATAATTAACCAAAACAACTACGGAACGTGCGAAGAGGTACTAGACTTCTTAGGAACTCACTACAAGGAGAATATCAACAAAGAACTATTATCACCTTACGATATCTCACTGAAGAATCTCTACACCGATACGATGAGAAGAGAGAAGATGATCCAAAGCGCGATAAACCTAACAAACGTCGGTAACAGGAACAAATCGATGTGGAATCTAATTTCAGAGTGGAAACCACTAACCACCTACTGGTCACCTTACTTCAGTCGTGGTTGGAAGATCCGTACGAAGTCAAGAAATTCTTAATCGACCTGGAATTATGGTTCAACCGACAAAACGGAAAAGTAAACGGTAAGTTCTCATCTATGATCGTAGATATCGCAAAGGACGTGGGGGTTCTCCATTCTGGGACCAGTTCATGAGTTGCATCGGCAAACGCATTCTATACGGCAACGAGTTCAGCCTAAATATGGAAACGAAGGAAATATTCAAACTGATACTAGAGGGACAACAAACCAAAATAAAAGTAAAGATGATGGGTGATCAAACCCTAGCAGGAACACCAGTGCTATTGTGTTCGAATAATGAAATCATCAGGAACGATAGCACCATCTCACTCGACGACAAACTCGCATTCGACGCAAGGATGATCAAACTGGAATCCAAAAAGATAGCAAATCCGAAATGGCTGAAAGAATTCGGCATCAACAAAAAGTTCGATCCGAGAGCTATCAGCGAGAGATGAGAGGAGAGAGAGACGAGAGGGGGAGAAGGCGAAGAAGAGAGAGAGAGGAGAGAGAGGGAAAAGGCGAAGAAGAGAGAGGAGAGGAGAGAGAGGAGACAGAGCGGGAGAGAGGGAGAAGGCGAAGAAGAGATATGAGAGGGGAGAGAGGGAGAAGGCGAAGGAGAGAGCGGGATGGTGAAGAAGAGAGAGGAGAGGAGACAGAGAGAGGGAGAAGGCGAAGAAGAGAGAGAGGAGAGGGGAGAGAGGGAGAAGGCGAAGAAGAGAGAGAGGAGAGGGGAGAGAGGGAGAAGGCGAAGAAGAGAGAGAGAGAGGGAGAAGGCGAAGAAGAGAGAGGGAAGACGAGCAGGGATCACGCACGACGAGAGAAGGTGAAAGAGAGAGGCGAGAGGAGCAGAGGGAGAAGGCGACAGAAGAGAAGAGATGAGAGGGACGAAAGGGCGAAGAAGAGAGAGAGGGATGAAGAGGAGAGAGAAGTGAAGCAAGAGAGAGGGACCGAGAGGGGAGAAGAGGAGAACGCGCGCGAAGAAAGAGAGAGAGGAGAGGAGAGAGAAGTATCGACACGCACACGCAGCAGAGAGGAGAGGCGGAGAGGGGCAAGAGAGGCGAGAAGCGAAGAAGAGAGAGAGAGAGTGAGAAGGAAGAAGAAGAAGATTGAGAGGGGCGAAGGAGAAGCTGCGAAGAAGAGAGAGAGGAGAGGAGGAGAAGTCGAAGAGAGAGAGAGG